ATAAAACTCTGAAAATTCATCTTTCCTTTTCTCTTTATTTATTTTGAACAAGCAAGCAAAATTTTTATATTTATCCTCTACCAAAAAATAAACCCAAAAATAAAAAAACTAACTATTCCTTTCTCCCACCCAAAAACAAAAAAACCCAATCACGTTTAATTCACAATACTCCGTTATTCAATAAAATTTAATTCGTTTCCCGATCCCTATATCTTCTTTCATACAAGAGAAACAAAAAAGTGGCAAAGGGGAAGAATAGAAAAAAAAAAAAAAGGTAATAAAAAAGAAATATAATGTTCATTGGTTTATATAATACCAAATATTTGGTGGGTGTATTTAGGCAAATATATTTTGTATATTAATTAACGCGCGTTAATATTCAATGGGCTCACTTGTAAATATATATATTACCTAAATAATTAAACTAAACTAAAAGCTAATTGTCATTTGATATCAAGTATTTCATGAATACATGTTTAGCTATATGAATGTATGGGTTATAAATATTGTGTTTATAATTATTCCTCTATTTCTTTTCCTCTTTTTTACGTGTCCCGACGATAATGAAAAAAAAGAAAGAAATAGAAAAGTTAATTTTTTTGAAATTGTAATAATAAGAATAATAGTAATGGAAATATAAAGTGTTGAAATATCGTGATAAATCCATCGGAATGTTGGTATTGTAAAGATATATAAAAGGTTATCAATAAAGTATTTACAATATATATATATATATAATGTCTTTGTAATATAATAAATTTTTTTTGTGGTGTCAAAGGAAACAAACAGTAAAGGTCAAAAAGAAAAAATGTCTTGTTTTTTTTAAATTTTTTGTTGTTGAAGTTGTTTTATCAAATTTTTTTTGAATTTTTCGTTCTTTAGGTTGTTAAGTGTTGTTTCGTATATCGTTCGTTATAATATTTGTCGCGTTTTGCGAATTCAACAACACGTATGGTTTATAGATTAGTCATCTAAATCAATATCTTCCAACTCCTTTATAAATGCGCGACGCCCGATTTGTTGTTTCAATTCTTGGTTTTCCATTCTTAGACGACCATTATCTTCTTTCACTTTACGAATGTGTCTCTATAAAAAAAAACGCGTATTCTCAATAAACATAAGTCAACACTCGAAAAAAAAAAACAAAAAAAGTTAAATAATTACTTTTAAGTCCTGTTGCTCCTCTTTAAGTAAATTCAGTTCAGTTTCCAAGGCGTATTTTTTCTGTGTCAATTCGATAACCTGTTCCGCCATTTGTTGCCGATCATCCTCATATTGACGCACAGCATTCAACACGGTGCTCGCGTCACTGAAACGCGAGTCCATTGAGGAACGTCGTGTTCCAGTTCTTGATCGAGTTTCCGAGGCATGATCGGAGAGTTCACGAATTCGTAGAGTTAGTGAACCGATTTCCTCGTTGGCTGTTGCGAGTGCTTCTTCGAGTTTGAGAATGCGGTCGTCAAGTTGAACGCACTCCTCTTCGTGCTCTTCTTCCAGAATTTCTCGTTCTTCGTTTGCCTGTTGGACAAGCTGTAAAATATATTTTATTCGTTAGTGGAAATCGAAAAATGCGTGCAAAAATATGTCAAAAAATAGAGAGAACATACTCTTTCTTGCCATTCTCTGAATTTATCTTCTTGAGCAGCCAACTGAGCTTGCAATTCACGCATTTGCTCTACAAAAAAGGAGTATTCAATGAATTTTCGATTTAGAAAAAGTTGTCAAAAAGGTAAATGAGCCAATTAATTACCTCGAAGATTTTCATTCTCATCTTCAATATCGCTAACTCGTGTTTGTTCTTGTAAAATCTCATTATTCAAATTATCAAGTTTTGCGTAAGCACTTCGTAGACTCTTCGTCTAATAATTAGAGAATATTTGGGTTAATTACATTTCTTTGGTTGATTGATAGAAAATTCGTAAAGCCTAATTCTTACCTTGTCTTTCATACATTTATACAATCTTCCGATGTATTCTTTCAAGACGACTGGGTCATCCTAATGAAAATGAAAAAAATGAATCAAACGTCATGAAAACAGATAAAAACGCGGAATGAGTGGATTGCATGTGAAATAGTACCTCTGACGCAATGATATTTGTATAATCAGAAAAATCATCAGGTGATTGTTGCTTTTGCGCAACGACGGTGTTTCGACGGAAAAATGAATTCATTTTGTTAATTTTTTTTGTAGTTTTCTCGTGTGCTTGTGTCTAATTCTGATATAGGGTATATTAATTGATTCGATTTGTGGGTCTCGGGAAGTTTATTTACTATGGTGGTGCTTAAGATAGTAATGCCCCGAGAAAATAATAAGTGTAGAAGAGAGCGGGTGAAAGTAAATAGAAGAAGGTGCGTGAAAGTTGGTAAATAAGTAAAATGAGAGTATGATATACGATAGAACCGTAAAAGAATCGTTAAAATAGGATTATTATATTTTATGTGGTGTTTTTTTTTTAAAGCAAAAGAAGTGTTGTAGCGGCACAAAAATAAAACAATTGAGGCGTATAGGATAAATATAAAAATTTTGCTTGCTTGTTCAAAATAAATAAAGAGAAAAGGAAAGATGAATTTTCAGAGTTTTAT